CCGCCACCGCCAATCTCAGCCTCAGCCCGGCCGTCCCGTCGCAGCGCGGGGGAGGGCGCCGCCCTTGTTCGCCTCGGACGCGAGTCATGCATGATTTGGTGGGCGGCGGTGCACGGCAAGGGCTCTGGGGCTTCCCCGGAGGGTCATGTCCCTATGTCCCTCGTATAGGGCGCGCTCCGCACCGCACCCCGCCACGCCCGGCCCGGCCCTGCCCCGCGTCAACAGGCCAGCAAACCCATCGGCCCGGGCTCCGATCGATGGCCTGCGGTAACATCGCCTCCGTGTCACCAGTAAAGCCCGCTCGGTCGGCGGCGGCGGCGCCGAGTATCCAGCGCCGCCGCTGTAAATTCTATTGTCGCGTCATTTTACGACCAATTTCTCTCTTGAAGTATAAGTAACACCGTCAAATGAATAAACTGTAATTGTAGCGTTGCGGGTCGGGTTTATGAATGAATAAGAATTGCTTTGTGTCATTATGTAGAAAGTGCTACACGTAAATGAGCTATGTATTTAACTGATGACCGAGTGCAAACAACACAAGCACACTACATATTTTGTTGATGGAAACACAATTTAAATGTCTCTTTACGAATAATTCATTCTTTATATCTTATGTAGGAGGCATTTGTTGAAAATTCGCCGTAATTTTACGACCGACCAAATTTTCCTAGTGACTACCGAGCCCGACGCGCACCGCACTGCGAGGCGGAATCGTTATTGCTGCTCCACAACACTTTCGTGACGCCATTAGTCGGCGCGCGTGTTGTGTCGCCTTGCAGGAATCAATCAATCTCTCATGTTGTATGAGAAGCAATAGCAGCATTTCCTCTTTTTAGTGCAAGGACGCACTTTTTATCCTGATCGCGCAACTTTCTGGCGCGTCTGTTGACATTCTGAAAGCTAGGAATATAATTCATGCGTGCGGGTGAAGGGCGAGTTTGGCACCTCTTGGCAATGTCCACGAGGTTGGAGTTCGTGGGAAGAGGTGACTTGATTAATCGAATTTAGCGATGGCAGTAGGGAAGTCGGGTGTGTGTGTGTGTGAGGCTGAAGGTGTGTCCCGGTCCAAACTGTAGCCAAAGGCGTCTAAACGAGCCAGCCGCAGAGGGCCCCGCTCCCCGCCCGCGCGTCTCTGCATGATTCAGGAAAGGGACAAGAGTTGATGTTGAGGGGGGAGGGGGCAGAGTTCCTGAATAAATTGCTATGTTTGCTTGGAGCGAGCGTGTGCGCAGTGGCAGCCGAGTTGCAGCTGAGCGAATGTTCCATTCCTAGCTTTTTGCTCACACCGTTAAAATAGAGGAGGGTTTACCTTGCGTAATACCCTGTACACTTACACCTAACTTGGGTATTACACGGTATTACACATAATGTTCCGAAAGATGTCAAAATAGGCTTTAAAATGGTATTTTGGTTTTGCATTTATAATGCCGGCGTACTCTGTACACGTTCTTTCGAAGTGAAACTCCTCTTGGTTAAAACCTTTGAAGTTTTAGCAGCGTCGCGATTGCAAAGCCGCGCGGAACCCTTTGCATTTCAAATTAGTTTGCTTAATTGAGATGGGTTGTTTCTAATCTCTGTGGAGCTGCCCAGCAACTGTAACAAGTCACAATCAATGGTTCCGAGCGCCTTAGCAAGCGAGTTTTATCTGCTACGAGATTTCTCAATACTTCTGTTGTATCGCCGGTTGCACGCACACGACCGAACTCGCCTCGAGCAAATGTTTGGTGATTTCCCGGCGGCAGCGGGCTTGTACGGCTGCTGCTGTGGGATTATTTGTTGAACAGGACAATCTATCGTGGCCCCACGCTCCACTGGTATCAATTCCATCGCTCGACACATTTTTTGAAACGTGGTTTGAAGGTTAGAATCAAGTTATTGTTTTGGGCATTTGGGGATTTGTAATCAAACCAAACATTTCTGCCACCCAAGTTTTTCCCAAACTAAACGTACCTAGCACAAACGTTTACTCAAAAATGTACAAGTAAAGGTAGTGTTCTACTAAATATTCGGCCTCCGCCTGTAAGAAGACGAATTAAAGAAGTTTCTTCGGGAACGTAGCATTCCTATATCAATGCACGGATCCGCCGCCAGGTTCGTGGAACAGCATTGTACTCTATCCCTTAACCCTGGAAGCCAAAATTGTAAATTAGATAGGGCGCGTGGTTTTCACCACGCGAAGTTAGCTCAACCCCCGGTTTTATATCGGGCCTGATTATCATACAATAACAAATGCCTGAGAGAAGGACATGTTCATGTTCCCCGCCGAGTTGTTATTCTCCGGATGCTCCTCATGGCTCCTCTGTCTGGTCTAGGCGGTCTGAGGGAAAGAAGGCAGACTTGATTGTTGTATACAGCGCCCCCTCCCTCCGGTGTTCTCCCACCGCCCCTATGCCACCGCGCCGCCCTTCCCCCGGGCCTGCTTCGACGTTGGCAGCTCTGCGCGGTCGCCCCCCCCCCCTCTTTCCCTCCCTGCGCGACCCGTGGTGCAGAGCGCCCAACAACCTTTCTCTGCAACAACAATTTTGAACACTGGAAGGAAACATGTCCTGGCTCTTTTCCAAACTCGAGGGGTCGTAGACACTCTCTGGGATATATTGTTGTGCCTTTTATCCGTGGGATTACCAACGTCTTTTCCTAGACGACTCCTAGTACTTCCCAAATCTCGGACTGAAAGGCCATTTCACAGCGCCGCCCTGCTCCCCGCCGGCGGCGCGGTCCAAGCTGACGGTAATATGCCTGCCATTTTGCTAAACATCACTCGAGGTGTAACTTTTTATCCTCCTGATGGGACGACAAGTTTTTCATCCCCTTTCTCCCCCGGAACCCCAACCCCTTTCGTCCAGTGCCCGGCCCGCCCACTCTTAGCCACCCTCGAGGACCCCGGGGCAACGCTGCGCTGGGGTAGGGGCAAGGGGAGGGCTCACTCCCCGAAGCCTCTCCCACGACCAGATGGTGTCTGTGCCGGGTAAGGGTAAGGGGAGGGGGCGGAGCGCCGGCGCCACGCCGGCTAGGCCCATCCTTGGCATCGCAATAAACTTTCAATCTCCAAGGAGGGGCGTTTCCACAAAAATGAAAGCAAGATTCTTATCATTATTGCTGAATGGCGTAGCAGAAGATGTAAGCAATGCGGCGACGAACGGAGATGTGCGACGGGGATCGTAAGAGCCGTCGAGTGGAGATCGCGTTGAACCCGGGGGTCGGACTCAGCAGAAGAGTCGAGGTAAAAAAATAAAAGTAATAAAATACTTAGTCTGGGCGCCTAACAATAAGAATATAATGCCTTAAGGGGTTTATGAATAGCCGAAGCGCCATGTAAACAATATGGATGCTTGCCGTAAACTAATTTGATGTAGGATTAATAAAGGGGGAACCCTACCGGCTCTAAGTACTAAGTAACTTTCAGACAAAATAGGAGAGTAGTGGGCTGTATAACGACAAAAGGTGGTTCAGTACGACGCGCTACTACTCTCTCTCGCAACCACCCACCTAGGCTCGCCCTGCCCTGAGTCGGACGAGGCTGGAATTGGGATAGTTTAGGATAGCCCAACCACGTCAGTGGCGCCGCAATGCGCTGCATTGCTGACAGAATCGCTCGCCAGTTGTATTGTAACACTTTTGGAAAGTGTCACAATCCAATAAAGATACGCTTTTGTATTCTCAAATATTTGAGGAACTCTACTCCACATTCTATTTGAAATAAGACTATAGAGGAGGTATTTCGCATCGTCTTTGCGCTCTGTCCCTCCGCGTACCCTAGCCTTGCGGCCGGCTGCATCGGCCTGGAAAGCTCTATACAAACTACTGTCATTACATTACATTTCCAGAGTTATTTACTTTCATACTTTAATAAGTCAATTTATGTGCTCGCCAAATTATTCTTTCAAAAAAGGAATTGTACAGAGTGGGTGATCCGCTCCGTCTTTTTAAAATGCTTTACTGTACCGGATTCACGCGTTCGGGCGGGCTTGCCTACCGTCGCCCGTCGCTCGCCAGGGCGTCTTACGGCGCCGTGCGAGTATGCAACCCGTCCGCACGTAAGAATCCGGTACAGTATAAGCATTTTAAAAAGACGGCGTGGATCACCCACCCTGTGTTACAAATTATTCAAATAATTATTCAAATGACGCTCTTTAATTGTTGAATTACAGAACGAGTTCAGTTAAAACAATACGCGTTCGTTTCTATAAAAGTATACTAAACATTTTCTAAATCAACAGCATAAATTTTAACATCCTCCCTCCCCCCAAGTCTTCCTCTCCACCTCGATACACACCCGTCTCTTGCTGTATATAGAGCCTACCCCGTGGGCGCAATCGGCGCAATAATCCCTAATTGGGTGGAGTTTTCGACGGGCAAACTAGTGCTGCAGTGGAACGCGCGTCAGCTCCACTCGACTATCGACTCGCTTGCTGGCTTCAAAGCCGCTGGGCGAGTGCCGAGTGTGTCTGCTCCAGCGCACAGCGAGTAGCGCGGCAGGGCGGCGCGGACTCAAAGCAAAGTAGCCGGCGTGACTTCCTTGCGACACTGGGGCGCCGCCGAGTTTGTGCGCCTTGTCTATCCGTGTGATCTCGTTGGAGTGTGTGTGTTTGTGAGTCTGTGTGTGTGTTTGTGAGTGTGAGTGAGTGTGTGTATGTGTGTGTGTTTGTTTGTGCCCGTGTTGAGGGAGTGAGTACGAAAACAATGGGGAGTAGCGGAACAGTGATGTTGATACAGTTGTCTGGTGGGTTGGGGTGCCAAGGCGACCCCTAGTAATTGTGGAACTTCGCGGAACTGTCGGGTTCTGCTGCTGATACGGTGTGAAGTAATGGAAACGAGGGTGCAGAGATATGAATGTGCTAGTCGAGCAAAAAGAGGCAGGGAGAAGAGATGGGAGTGAGTGGGTGACGGCGGTGGAAAGAGCAAGCGAGAAGCAAGGACCTTTGCATGCCAAGTAATTCCTAGAGTGGGCTCATTGTGATAATGGCCAGTATGTATGAATGAGGGTGTGGGTGCCGTTGCAGCAGCGGGGCCGACATGAAGTGCGGCGGCTGCACGGTCGACGATGACGCCGCGGGCGATGGCGGCGAGGACGCGGCCAACAGGGCTCTCCTCGGAGACCGCAACGTGCCCGTCATCATTTACCCGGCCACGGCGGCGTCGGCCGCCCTGCCCCACGGGGCAGGAGGAGGGCGGAGGACCAAGAGCGAGTCGGGGGATATGGAGCGGCGCATCATATGCAGCAGCCCTCCGCACGCCCCCGGACACGCGTACGCAGACATTGGCGGCAGCGAGGGCAACTTTGCCTCCTGCCTGCAGCAACAGAGCAAAAGAGCGTCCACGGGGGAGGCGAGGTGGTCCTCTTTGAAGGAGACCTCGGTGCACATGCGGTCTGGCAGCGGCAAGCGCGCGAATGGTGGCGCCAGCATCGTTCTGCAGCAGCCGGAAGTAAACATCACCTCTTCGACCAAGGTCATCGGCAAGGAGGTAGCGCATATTTTTATCACAAGTGTTCGACTGTTGTGTGTTTGTTTACGTGTGTGTGTGTGTGTGTGTTTTGAGTAATTGCTATATCGATCCGGTGACTTTTCCATCACCCTACATTCCGTGCCAGAGTGAGTAAATTCATCAGCGCGAGGCAAACTTTGTGCCATCAACTTGCTGAAGAAATAAGTTGTGGGCGGCCACGTCGCAGGCCGGACCTGCTCGCCGCAGAAGGGCCGATGCTGGACGGGGATCGAACTAAACGAGCGATGCGACGACGCTGGGCTGCCCGGGTCGCATACCCATCCGCGAAAATGAAAAAGACTTCGGCGGACCAAAAGTTTGCGATCTGTAGAGGACAGGGGGTGGGGGTGGGTGCTCCGGCTATTTCCATTGTCAGTCGATGCCGTCCTGGCCCTGGCTTGCTGGATTTTCACCTCGAATTTCACCACCCTTCCACCGTGTTGCAGGTGCTGTCGCTGGGCGCTGATGTCCTGCCTGAATACAAGCTGCAGTCGCCACGGATGCACCACTGGACAGTGCTGCACTATTCACCCTTCAAGGCTGCTTGGGACTGGCTTATCCTCATACTAGTTTTGTATACCGCAATCTTCACGCCGTACGTCGCGGCTTTCCTCCTGAACGAACCAGATTTCAGCAGTCGCAAGAGCCGCAAGTATGGCGACGACCCTATTGTCATCGTCGACCTATTAGGTATTTGCGGACACTTTTGCTCGTTCGAAAGGTACTTTAGAACTAATTTTGACGTTAATTATTAATCTTACATTACCAGTGGACGTAACCTTCATCGTGGACATTCTTATAAATTTTCGCACGACGTATGTCAATGGAGCCGACGAGGTGGTCTCACATCCTGGGAAGATTGCGGTGCATTACTTTAAAGGATGGTTCGTCATAGACCTTGTAGCTGCCATCCCTTTCGACCTTTTACTGTTTGGGTCCGACACCGATGAGGTGAGTACATCAGGTCATATTACTTTTAAAATGTTAATTTTGCGCTGCTATTACAATTTAGGAGTTTATGGCTCTGTATCTATCAAAATACATAGATGATTGTCGTCAGCTAAACTATACCAGTTGAACCAGTAACTATTTACCCTGTCGGGTCAACACCTTCAAAAAACCTCTCTAAACTCGTGCTAACACTATTCTCGTCAAATAGCAAACGATTTGTGGCAGATAATTCTCTTAAGGAAAAGGTATCTGGTTCAGTAGGTATATTGCTGTCATAAATTAACATGTTCAGTGCGGCAGGAATATCTAGACGTGGACAAATTCAGCAATGTGCGCATTGCTTTGAAGCCACACTGAACATGTCAATTCTTTCCTCATCTGCAGTTATTAGTTTTACTCTTTTTTAAAAAGCGTATACAGTAATTTGTAAATGTTCGAAGTGTAAAACAGCGTACTTTGCAGGCATTTGTTTCATAATTTCTAGCTTAAACGTTAAAATTAGTACGGCAATCTACATGAGAATACGTTTGTGCTAGCTTGGATGACAACATATAAAGCCAGATTTCAAATTAAACCGACACAAATGTAGTTAACATAAAAACAAAATATAGCTAGCACAGTTTCGGGTGAAGTCTGGTAGTGCGACCCTGTTTGGAATTATTCACATAAGCTTGTACGCAAACATGTGCCAAGTTAGTTTCCATTTTTGTTTCCATGACGCTAAAATTTATAGAAAATAATTGGTACGTGGGCTATCAATATTCATTTTAACAATGCGAGACATTTACTGTAGATAATAGGATTGTAATTGTTAATCTATTAAGATGCATGGACTTGCGCATATGAGTAATATTTTTTTAAAGAAACCTCGAATGAAACGTTAAATCATTGTACATGAGGCAGTCGATGGGATGAAAATATGTAGTCCTGTGCGAAAGAAAAAAAAAAACAATTTTCTGTAATTTTCTTTTGCAGTATGAAAGTGATAACTCCTAAAAAGACACAGAACCTCATTATGAAACCTTATTATCAGTAACTTATCCAGACTTCCAAACTATCTTAGCGAAGCCAGAGTCCCTTAAACAAAGAAATAAGGAATTTCCGTGTAGGTCGCAGAGTAAGTCAGAAGAACAAAACTGGATCTAGAGAGCTGTGATGGGGATGGACGTGGGAAGGAGTGGGCGAGGACCTTTACCCACTGCCTACATGCTCCTCCCCGCGTCCACCCGCACAAAGCGATCTGATTCCGTTTTTGTTCTTAATTCGTTTTCTACCATAATTGAAACACTATATGATAAAACGCTGAAAATTGGATCATAAAAAGTGACCAGACTGGGGACAAGCGGAGTTTTGTTGTACACTTAAGGAATAGCTTGGTCCAGCATGTAGAACACACGAGCTACTCCTGTTATTCCAATACAGCCTCAGCTTTGAGATGTAATATGTCAGCTATCTAGGGAAGAACCAATGGCGTTACCAGTAATAGCTAATGTATTTCACCTTGAAATGTAGTCGTAGGTTTACGGGGGAAAGAGGGGAATCCACAATGTATGTTGTAAAATTAAAATGGCAAATTTACAAGCTCTTCGTATCGACTTTGGAATGATCGCCAAGCATGAACAGACTTTAGCAAATTTACAATATATTTTACGTGATAAGAAAATGATGTGTTAAAAGTAAAACATCAACATATTTTGTCTCCTTTTTAATACATGCAAGAGCTCCCTGGTGCCCAGACAGCCAACATATTATCTAAGCTGACGCTTTTTCTTCCATGTAGCACAGGCGGCGCCTCTAGCGGTTGTGAATTTGGTGGGGCCAGGTGGATGCAAGCAATGAAATACAATGAAAACCAAAGTGTGCATGTGGCATACACATTGCTGTGTTCAACTCTATGGTACCTATTCATTTGGACTGGGCTGGAAACTCACATACTTTAAACGGTTCAACATTACATTTTCAGTCTAGTGTTGAAGATGTGCATACCAGTTGTACACTTTATTGATCAGTGGTTTGACAGCCACAGCCAATTGGGGCCACCGACCAACTTCGCTACCGCGCGCGCTCCGCTGCTACCCTCTGCTAGGTCATTCACCCATTTTCTTCCTCACAACAATATGACACGTTCCAAAAGACTAACTAAATAGCTAAATGCATGTATGCGATCTAGTTTGGTCCCATGATTATAGAAAAATAGGAAATGCTAGTTAATTTTGTTCTGATTTTTCCTTGGTTGTACTATTTTGCGTTTCAAAGACTGCTTTAAATCGCTGTATAAATATAGTGTAGATACATTAAAAGCCGCGAATAGCCCTCTGTAAATGTTGATACCTTCAAGTTAATTAACCAATTGCATGTAACGTTTTAGTCTTAGTGAGCTAAAACTAAGTTGTGGTTTTGCATGTATCACAACGAATGTTTGTGTCATCTATCTGACGGTTATCACCCTGATTTCGAATGGCTTATTTAGTAGTGTACTAAGTTGTACTGTAATCAAATTCATTTAATTCCAAAGGTGCTAAACCTTTAAATTCTCATCTTTTGTAATCTGTCCATTACCCTACTATTTCCTCTGTGTTCTTTGTGCAACTGTACACCCTACAGAAGAAAATTCCACGTACAAAATATATTTATTACGCACAATCTGGAAATTAATAGATATTTTGAACATAGAGTCATAGCTGTGATTTGTATTGTGCTGTGGATGACTTGTTTCTGTGTGTAGCTATTGACTTTTCTGCCCTTTTGCAGTTGGGCTTGGATGCGGATGAGGTTAGTCAACATCATAGGTGCGGCCCCACCGACGCAAGCTTCTTCCTCGCCTCACCTCAGTTAATAGGGGAGACTAATGCAAAAATGAAAAGAGCGACCAAATATTAGGTCGCACCTTGTTCGTATGTTGCGGACAGGCTCTATAACGAGAAAAATATGGCCACTAATGTAACTCGTGCCCCAATGTAGGACCTCTAGATTCCGCTTTTTTAAAGTTTCTCTTACAAGGTCTAATTTTACATAGGCATCAATGGGGTAAATATTACACGGGGGTAGTGTAATATGGCAAATATTCTATCATTAAGTCCCATTTTTTTTACGTCGGTCTCCTTTCGTGCTACCGTTCGCATATGGATTTCACTTTTGTATGTGATGCTTTGCATTTGTTTTGGCTTTTCCTGGCTGACCCTTGCATTATAGATTGAGTTAATGCACGACTGTAGAACATTAGAATTTTTAGAATAGTCTCGAAAAGTTAAAGATCTGATAAATATCTAACACTACGTGACACCACTTAAAACGGTCTTCTACGGTTACAGATAGTAAAAGTAAAATTTACTTACATTTTAAAATGCGTTCTTATATGTCTTGGTACACTACTGAAAATGTTATTGCACCCAAACACGATGAATATTGTATGGGGTTTATCGGGACAAGTTAACACGATTCCACATTTGCGCTTTGTTCGACTTACGTTGTTTCAGATAAGCCCTCTCAACGAATCTAATGTTGATACGCAAAGTCTTCTGCACGAATGACCTGCACGCTGTGTGACACTTCTCTCTTTGCTTTTAATCTCTTTACACGTCTCTCAGCACTATTGTCAGCTTGTCCCTTCAGTGTGCATGTTACTTCCAGGCGGACGAGTACCTGGGAGACGACACATTTGACACTGCATCAGGTTCAGGAGGGGAGGAGGTGAGTGGTGGTTTTCATCTGGAACCTGTCGTGTCCCCTTTCGCGATTGGTGTGGGTGTTGCATGCCATGCTGCATGTGGCGTTTGTCTTGTCGATTTCCATTGTTATCAGCACGTAAGTCTGATGAGCATTGACTCTGGTATTGTTATCGGGAATGAAATCTTAAGCAATCTTAAAACTTGCACTACTATTAGGGACAAAGTTTCGCTCACCGCATTTCGGAAAGGCTCTAGTGGCTGAAATTCTGAAGTAATTCAGTACATTGCGGTTATCCCGCTGTGTTTATGCTGCATAGAGAGATGCGATATAAGGTCTGCGGAGGACACCATTCGACAAGCGCCACACGACGTGTCTGAAAACCGAAAAATTAAACCTACGAATTCCTTTGATATCCTTGCCCCTGCCCCTGACAGAACACCTCACCAGTCGAACTCCTTTTCTGCTCAAGCCTTTACTTTCCTCTTCCGGCTATCGCCTTTTCTCCAGAACTTTTCGCAAACTCACTCCACTGCTGATGCTTTTGTTTCTGCTCTCCTCGGTTTGCTGGTTACGGACTGCCTCAGCTATAGACGGGCAGACCAAAAAAAGGGGGCCTTAGCTCACCGACCGTGCACAACTCGAAAGGCAGTGTGGGCGGAAGGTTAGGGGTGAGGGTAGCAGAGATGGGCAGTGCGTAGCCAAACCAAACGAATGGTACACATTAGTCGTGTTTGACTCGAACACATCCGACGTGTTACAAGACATTTTTTCGTTTGGTAAAGAATAAAACGTTGGTTAACTTGAGGACGAGGAAGAAAATAAATAACAAATTGATAACACAAAAGTCAAGCTAATTTGTAAAAGTTTTGTTTAAGCTCTTTATTACTGAACTGTTAGTGTTCAACTTCCTGGTCGTAGTTCATACTCTCAGGTGTTAGACTGTTAACTTTAATACTAAAAACTGTTTGACAGTAAATTCATACACTAAATGTGTCCAAACCTGCATGGGCAACCCTGAAGTTGAACACATCTAACTGTGTACTTTTCTGTTCAACACTTTTCAGTATTCGAACATCCAGTCGAACACTTGTAAGTGTGCAACGAAGTGCTAAACACCGGTATACACTTACAGGTGCACTCCAGTTGCACACTTTTCAGTATTGGCTGAGGATGTGACCCTTTCCTTTTTCCAACAAATTTGGCATATACAAACGGTCAAATTATTTCTACATCGTAACAAAGAGGGGAACGTAGGGCGTGCGTTCAGCCTAGGTGTGCCACGTCACCGCGATCCTATCGATGACACCCAATCGGTATTCAGTGTTGGTGGGGGCATGCATTTTGTGAACGCTCCGGCCCCAACCCCTCTTCACGCCCCCCTCTCCTCCCGGGATAGTAAGTCCCGTGGCTTAGTCGATATCGCCCTCCCGGCCCGGCCTGGCCCAGCGTAGCGGGGACCTGCTCTACACTGCGCTCCTCTCCGCCCAGCGCAGCGAAGGGATGGCAACGGAGGACCTGGGGGTGGACGTGTGGGGGGTGGCAACCTTGCAGCGCATGCGCCGAGGTCAGCCGGCCCGGGGGCCGGGCCGCAGGGCGGATGGGGAATGGCAACACTGCAAGAAGGAGCCTTTGCATGCTGAATTCCAACGAAGGTGGCTGTGATAAGGATGTGTAAGAGGTGCGTCATTTAATATTTGCAAGCCTGCTTCGAGTCAATGAATAAGCAGGAGCTAATGCAAAGGCATGATATAAAACTGGATGGTAAATCAATTACCTAGTTAAGTTAAACAGAGGGATTCGGGCAGGAGGATATTAAAGTAGTAGTAAAGAGTCTACCTATGTGCTATGATAGATTGTCCAACTATAAGAAAAGTAAACGATGGGCGGGAAGGGGTGGATCATGGTGGAATCTTGATACTGTCTAAGCCCGCCACCTTGCACCTCTTGCACCACCAAGCACTGGAAATGCTGAAGTTATCACTGTTATTCAATTCATGTGACGTCACATTCGTTAACATGTAAAAACTGTCACATTGGTCAAACTGTGATTCGTTTCAACCTGACTCAGCCGCGCCAAGCATGATGACTACGTTCCAAAGTTGCATGAAAAATCATGTGAAGCATCCAAAGGAATGTGACCCATGTAAAGTAATGTGACGTCACATGAATTTATTAACAGTGATGTCTCTCGTCTGAAAAGAGTGACGGAATTTCGTTGCTCACTTTGGGCTATGCCTGTTTTCGTAACTCTATTTATGTGAGTATTGAAACATCGCTCCCTGTGAGTGATAGTTTTGGATCATCCCTCCTTTTGAGCGACGGTTGCAATTCTCAAACAGCAATATTCCAATATCGTCACTCAAATAGAGTGACGAAAAAAGCGTGGCTCCTCTACGAGAAACGAAATTGAAAGCATTGTGTAGCTCTTCCAAGAACAAGAGCGACGAGCCTGACACACATTTTCAGTGAGATCGTGGTGTATGGTGTGCTTTACAAGAATATGCATGCAGAAATATAATAATTAGAGCATTGGCGAGTAGCATGTACACATAACATACACGAGGTAAAAATCTTATCGCTTCGTATTTTTTTGTTTTATGTAGCGTTAGTCTGAAGGAATTAGTTTAGTACGTTCACTACCGCCAAGCTTAACGGTGTAATGAATTGTCATGACCTGTAGTAAGCCATAGTTATTCTTTGCTCAAGGAGCTGGTATGGCCTGTAACAACAGAGTCTTTCTCTCTGAATTTGCCGAGTCTCAAATGGGCTGTTACTTGGCCCACTGAATGTCGTGGATGCCAAATCCAACACTGCTGTACCTCAGTCACCCGAGTCATCACATGCTTTCTGCTCGTCTAGTGGGCTAGTCACAGTACCATCACAATAATATTCCCGGTTTCCAAAAACAGATCCCTGAACTGGTTGCATGTCCCCTCGAGAGCACGGCGCTTGCTATAGCATTGGAGCCGGTGTGGCGGCAGTGGCGCGGGCCGTGATGGCTTACCCGCCTCCGCGCGACTCTCTCTGTCCGCAGACCACCACCCTGATTGGCCTGCTCAAGACTGCCCGGCTGCTCCGGCTGGTGCGGGTGGCGCGCAAGATCGACCGCTACTCCGAGTATGGCGCCGCCGTACTACTGCTGCTCATGGCCTCCTTCGCCTTGTCCGCACACTGGCTCGCGTGCATTTGGTAAGCTGAACGACCCTCCTAAGAAGCGTCTGATTAATTTACACCTGTTTTGGTCCTACACTGCGCAAAAGTACAGAACGGAACTGGTCCGTCCATGTTTTGTCCCTATCTGGCTCGGAGGCGAAATACCTCGCTGTTTTCTTTTGTACACACCTTAGCAGTCGCCTTCTCCTGGTAATCCTTTGAAGCGACGTGGAATTCAATTCTGTCTTTGTGTTTTTTATGCGAAAATTTCTACGCGCTCTTTTCATAGAGCCCCTGGCTTGTCTCACTTAGCACGACAGGGGTGTTAAAGTTGGCCTTTGCCTGCGGCCTTCCTGCCAAATAATAATCTCCGGCAGGTGGCACGTATAAACTTTTAATTGGGACCTGCCATGCCATTCTGCAGGGACCTTTGAACCTAATCCTCACCTAATAACGACGGTTGGTCGCTCAACTGCTGGATTTGAGTTTGAGATATACGGCGAAAGCAGAGAGGGAGAAAGGACCAGGATCAGTCAGAGAGTGCGTGGAGTTCAGCAAACGTTCTGGTCGAGGACACGTGTACACCTTTCGCACAGCCGAGGACACGCCTTTATCACGCCAAACTCTCCCCTCCCATTGTAGTCTCACCTTGAATTACACTGGAGCGCCCCGAGCGGGCTGGCAGCTGTGGAGCTGTTTGCTCTCTGCGAAGCTCCTAAAAGAGTCCTTGTGAAACACGCCACCCTCGCGGGTATTATCCGGGCCTGTATTTCCCTTTTTCGCTCTCAAGTTCTCGGCGTCGCTAACAAACTTTGACTTTTTGTGTGCTCTCCTTCAGGTACGCTATTGGGACTGCTGAACGGCCCCGCCTTCCGAATAAAGTGGGGTGGCTCGATGCCCTGGCGAACGAGACGCACGAGTTCTACGGGCCTAACAACACAGGCGGGCCGTCTATCAAGGTGAAACAACACACGTACATTACAAGAAGAACATAGTGACTGTTCTCTCAAAGACTGTCCATCTTGAAGTGCATTAACATCGAATTACTCCATTCGATGTACTAATCGTTGTTGTGGGATCGTTATTGTTTACAGTCTCGTTACATCACAGCTTTGTATTTCACCTTTAGTAGCCTTACGTCAGTCGGGTTTGGCAACGTGGCGCCCAACACGGACGGTGAAAAAATTTTCACCATATGCGTCATGTTAGTTGGATGTGAGTTATTCGCCATCTTCAGCAAATAATAATCTTGGAGTTAACCGAGAATTATTCACTTGAATTGCAAATTTGCAATTACCTTAAGATAGCGCTTTAACCCTGACCTTCGAACTAACTTTGAATGATTTTCCGCCCCTCAGCCCTGATGTACGCTAGCATCTTCGGTAATGTGAGTGCCATTATTCAGCGGCTGTACTCCGGCACTGCACGCTATCACACGCAGATGCTCCGAGTCCGTGAGTTTATCCGCTTCCATCAGATTCCAAACCCGCTGAGACAGCGCCTGGAGGAGTACTTCCAGGTGAAACAACTGCTCCATAATTTATTATGCTTCTAATATTTTATGAAACAAGTCTTGACTCTGCCCTGTTTTGCTCTCAGCACGCCTGGGCGTACACCAACGGTATCGATATGAACAGCGTCCTTAAGGGCTTCCCAGAATGTCTGCAGGCGGACATCTGTTTGCACCTAAATAGGAATCTCCTCACAAACTGTTCGGCTTTTGAAGGGGCGTCTCCAGGCTGCTTAAGGTACTGTTTCATTTGGCTTGACTTGAGGGGCGCCGTGCAGTAGACTGTCCCGCAGGGCAAGTATGTCGTGCGGTAGTGCCTACCCTCTCATTGACAGGCGCTCGACCGAGAGGCTGGATCGAAATGCACATTTCACGTTTAACTTCACTCCCTAGCTCGGTCATGATGTTTACTTGACAATTACTTCTTATTTTTCCTTTACAGGGCTCTATCCCTAAAATTCAAGACGACCCATGCGCCTCCCGGTGACACATTAGTCCACCGTGGAGATGTGTTAACGTCCCTTCATTTCATCTCAAGGGGATCGATAGAAATTCTAAAGGAAGACATTGTCATGGCCATCTTAGGTACGTGCTGAGCGTTTCCTTTTCATTCGTATTGTGAGGATAGAGGGTTTCCATGGCGTACGTGACTGAATGTGCAGGCAAAGACGACATCTTCGGCGAGAGTCCGTGCCAGTACTCTACGGTGGGGAAATCTTCTTGCAACGTTCGCGCGCTCACGTACTGTGACCTCCACAAGATCCACCGTGATGACCTACTCGACGTGCTGGAGCTCTACCCAGAGTTTTACAACACGTTTGCCAGCAGCCTAGAGATTACTTTTAACATGAGAGACGTGAGTTCAACTGATTTTTCTTCTTTAATTTTGTCTGATGTTGCATTTGCTTTCTATGGCCATTTGAGAGAGTAGGACATTCCTTGCAACAGTCAGATCTGACACTCGAGTGACACACTTTGAATGAAGTACCTACTTATCACCTTTGAACTGTTTGATTTAATCTTAAAATGTCGAACAGGAGGAACAGCCAGGTGTCGACCCCCGCTTCATGAGGCACCGGCCCTCAAAGTGCTCGTCGTCGGACGTTGAGCACCAGGAAGCTGAACACAGGAAGCAGGGCTATCGCAAAGGGCCCCGGCGGAGAAGGCCGCTCGACAAGAGCCCCGAGAGAACGGGCGAGCGGAGCGAGCCTGGCGGACCACTGCACCAACAGGACTCGTTCCAACGACAGAGCAGCGAGGAAACCTGCTCGGAATAGTGAGTAGGGTAAAGAGGCTGTAAGGGATTTCTGTCGGTCCTGCGTGTGACGGAGAATTGTGCTAGCCCCCTTTCTTTCTTGATGTTCTCTAAAGCTTTCCTTCTGTTGTCAAAAAGTGCATAGGAGTAAACATTTTTAAAGCGACGCAATTGGGCGTAAACCGCATATGCATATTAGATACCTATCACCGTAAATAGGAAACGCCAGCTCCACCCCACCGAGAAGTTGTGACCTCTGATGGTAATGCCTTCTCTTTGTCGTGTCCGTATTGTTTCTAGCGAACGGGTGGTGAGGTCAGAACGACAGCAGCGCCCTTACGCGGAGTCCTCCCAGAGCACGATGCGGTGCCCGGGAGGGGTGGGCGAAAGCGGCGCGGGGGTGGGGCCCCATCAGACTGTGCCCCAGGTGGCTGTGCAGACCGAGTCGTGCGCACAATGTGGCCGCCGGGACCTGGAGCTCAACGCCAAGGTGGACAGGCTCAGCAAGTATGGAAACTGACGTGTATAGTGTCTAATATCTAATGTCGAGGAGGACCACTCGTCTCACCTTCACTCACTTACTTTCCAGACAATTGCAGTGGTTAGAAGAGACAATGGCAAATGACCTAAGGCAGGTGCTGACTCTGGTGCAGCAGCAGGCCGCCTTAGTTCACCCAGTCCCCGAACCGCGAGAGGTAAGCCTGTGCACGTACGGCTGACATAAGGGAACCTTTTCAGGTGTAAATCTCCGATTTCCCTGAAACTTGGAAAGTTTGAAGGTTGTTTCAAAATTGAACAAGTAGTTCTCCCCTATATAGGTTAGGAGTAAGGGTTTTTAAAGAAGATGTTTTTGCAAAATGTAAAGCAGTTTTCTAAGGGGTTACTCGTCCAATTAGTGCCATTTAGCCCCAAATTTTGTCCGTTTTCCTCTATTTTGTACCGTCAAGGCGGTAGATGGATATTTGGGACCAAAAGCAGTGTGAGGCTTCAGTTAACCCCTTCTAACTGCGAGGTTTAGGAAAATTTTCCAGTGCCATCTGACTTCTATTATAATAACCTTAAAAATTTCTGAGTTTCAACGAAATCAGATATTTTCGCCCCCTGAAAAGGTTCCCTTATGAGTGTGGGCCATGACAGTGCGCCCGACTAACACATTGCTTGCAGTCCTGGGCGGACGCTGGCCCTAGCCTTGGTCCAAGGCCATCGCACCCCGTGCAGCGCAGTGCTAGCCTCCCGCAGAACCCAACCAGCCCAGCGGCAGCCGGTTCCTCACACCAGTCAGGGTAGGGGAAAGACCGAGGGAGTTTTACCTTGCGTAATACTATGTACACCCGATCTGGGTATTACACGATATTACGCAAAATGTAATACCAAAAAATATCAAAATGTGCTTTAAAAAGGTTATTTTTTTCCATGTAATACCACGTAATACAGTGTAATACGAAGTACTCTGTACACGTTTTTTTTTTTTTTTTTTTTTTGTTGAGTAAAACCCCCCTCGGGAAAGACTGATGGGCCCATGCAGCATAAATTGCGCCGCATGCTATCCGATAGATGGGCGTTGCACTGTTATTCAAACACGGTGACGTCACGTTCAATCCAATACTAACTGTGCCACATTGCTTAGCATATCGTGTCACATTCTTTAGAACCTGGCGTGCCCTTGTCTCACTGGTTCAGTGAATGGCAGACGTATGTTGGTAATAACGAATTTGAGACAGTAGTATTGTGTGTGACACGAGTCGCACTATAAGATGTGTTGTCAAAGTATTTGAACAACAGTGTGCTAGTAAAGAGCGCTCTCATTTCCGGTTGGTTTTGGTGTAGTCTCTGACGCCCTTTCAAAGGCGTGGCTTTAATGCTGCACACGTACATTTCTAGAAGACTGCACCCGGGACAGAAGCACTCGAACAGCAGCAGACAGCCGCAGCACCAATTAAGGCCGCCGCCGACGCGCAGCATGTCCTCGCCCCTTGATCTCACACAGGTATGTCATTATTTGGCGTTTGCTGCCTCGCGGTAGACTTAGACCTGAAAGCCTCTTGTGTGCCCCGCAGCATTCCCCCACCGCGGCAGCCCGCCAACCCCGGCCTCAGTCAGCCGAGATGACGGCTCCAACCCCTCACCCATCGCCTGGCCCTGCCCGGTTTGATGTCAGGTAAGGGGAGATCTTAGGTTGTTATATTGAGGGGGCGTCATCCCCACTGATAAATAAAGTGTTCAACTGGGCGTACACATGCAAGTGTTCAACACTATGTTGCACAGTAGCAAGTGTTAAACAGTAAAGTTGAACACTTAAAAGTGTTCAACATTAGGTGCTATGAAGCTCTCGACACCTTAAAGTGTTCAAATTTACTGTTGAACACTTCGAAATATTCAAATATCCCGCCAAACACGCCAGTTGAAAACTTCATTTATCAGTGCCTAATCAGCATTCTTGTGTGCAGTCCGACACACCAGTTGGTGGCCAGGGAGGCAACATCTCCTGCCCATCTCGGGGATAACACAAGCGGCTCGATCCGGGCAGCGCCGATCGCCAGACTGGAGTCCCTAGACGAGCTAGACCAAGCGCAGGTGATGATTTCTCTAAGAGCCAAGGAATGCATTAATCCAAAACGGATTTTAACACTTTGAATTGAATTTTCTGAAAGGGTTCCATTACCGTCGACACAAGAATTCCAACAGATCCAGTACCTTCACCGTCTAGAAGTGACTTGAAACCCAAGTCGTCGGAGGTGTAGGCACGCTGCAAGTGCCCCATTCGTTACAAGTATTATGGCTGCAAAGCAAAAATTTTGTTTGATATTTTTAAGAAGATTGTGATATTACTGTTGTGATAGAACAGTGTTTTTTTGATTCTTAGAACAAGTGAGTGGATGGGAAAGAGTGAGTACGAATGTCTTTGATACATGGCAACTTTGTTTAAGGGTACATTTAAACTGTATTATAATTATTTGCTCAGTAATGAGTGTGATTTATGACTGCCTTTCACTTGTATATTAAATGTGTCTAAGGATCCATTTTAGAGCGAAGGAAATTGCATGAATATGTGTTTATATTGGGTACAAAGATAAACATTGTTTAGCCTTACATTTTTATAATACTGCAAATGCGAGCTAATTTATTGTGGCACTTCAAAATGTTTTACGCACTCAAACTTAACCAAGTTGAAAGAAATGTACCACTTGCAAGAACTTTTCGAAACCGTCCGTAATGATACTACAGAATGTTTGCGTTTCGGTGAATTGTTTTGTGAAATGACAAACTTCACTGATGTATATTCCGGATTAATTAGGTCTGATGCTCAAGTTTAAGCTCGAGAGCGGGCTTGGAGACACCGTTACCGTTACTACCTCTGTGTGCTATCCAATAACTTTTAAAATCTGTCTCTTTTTTGGTTTTGGACGTCGGGCCACGCATTACTTCAAGTGGACTAAAAGGGAGAGTTTTTATTGTGTATTGTAGAAGTCTTACGTCAGTGGAAATTGTGGTTCGAGAATGTGCTGGAAGTAAAACAATTGCCTTAAAATTGTAAAGTCACTTTTACTTGATATACCACTGAACTTATGCCCCGCGTGTTTCCCGTTTGCCAAGCAAACTCTCAAAAGGCTGACCTAAACTTAACACAACTTTCATTTTTTTTACGGTGTCTGGTCCTGCAGAGACAAATAGAGGTCGTTTTAAAGGGTATTAATT